TTAAATAAATGTGTGAATAACACTATTGTACAAAATATCCTGAATAAATTGAATGAAGCGCTCGCTCCGTATGTACTTGAGCTCCGTATTGTACAAAATATCCGTATTGTACAAATTAAATGATGTGTTTTCAATAGGAATGAACACGTTTATCAACGCTTAAATACTAAACCAATCACAAACTTCCATATCATTTAGTTTTCAAAAGTTAGTCTTCTTTGCATTACCCTTACAAAATAGACGATAATTAGAGAATTAACCAATCTTCTAAACTCATTTTGCGTGTGGACTATATGTAGTTTCTTTTATTGATTGACATGTGTTAATAAACTTAACACTCATTAACTTTGATATCATACATTTAACATTTGTCAATCAATCATAGCGCCAATACAAAATGGAGGAGAAGATTTGATCCCATAGTCCCAAGGTAATTAATTTCTAAACAAAATGATGTTCTCTCCCACACATAAAACAAATAGATTTTCCTACCATTTTTAGGTGACAAACGAATATAAGAAAAATCATAAAAGTTGAATTTCCGAAGAGAAACTAATATAGAAAGAAAGAAATAAGTCAATAGTCAACAGTCGACGTTTTGAAAGATTAGAAGCAGTTACATTTGGTTTGTTTTGTTCCTCTTGTTCTACCCATTTCTCAACTCACAAGTTCATACCGAAACCAAAACCAAGCAGAAGTTCTCCGACTCTGACTCTCTGCTTCAAACACATAAAATAAACTTTTGCGATCGGCTTCTCTTCTCGCTCACAAATCCATCCGGACTCTGGAGGAGGAGAAGCAGGGATTATGTCTTTCTTGTCTCCTACAATTCCGATGCTCCACCCCCAGGATGACGAGACCGGTCAGTCACTCGTCCCTCGCAAAAACTCAAACGACTTGAACAGCAAGATCATGGTCATATCCATCATTTCATTATCCGTCGTTGTTTTGCTAGTAATCTTGCTTCATACCTACGCAAGGTGTGTCCTCCAACGCCGGGCGCTTCGCCGAGCTTCCATACGTCATCATTTGGGGTCAACCATGGCTCATGTCCACTCCATTATTGAGCTGCCCAAAATCGGACTCGAGCCCTCCGTCATTGCCGCCTTGCCCATGTTCGTGTTCAGACGTGCGGAGGGCCAAGATGGCGGGGATGACAACGCATTAGAGTGCGCTGTGTGTTTGAGCATGTTAGAGGATGAAGAAATGGCCCGATTGCTTCCAAATTGCAAGCACAGTTTCCATGCAGAGTGCATCGACAAGTGGCTGAATTCCCATACTACCTGCCCCATTTGCCGGACAGAGGCGAAGCCGCGTCTGCATCTCGAGCCACGAGAGGGTCCCGCAGCCGGGATGCCTACGGCTCCGCCGTTAGAGCATGTGGACTCTGTGTTGTCATCATCATGTATGGAAGGGACATCAGATGGTGCTCAATCCAGCTCAGCTGGTACTAAAGTGAATGCTTCATCGGTTTCCAGGTTGAGTTCTTTCAGAAGAATGATTAGCAGGGACAGATCTTCAAGACGTATTCAATCTTGCGGACAAGAGGATGGTATAGAAGATTTAGAGAGGCAGTGAAGATTGAATCAGTTATGGGTAATATATTACATAATTTTGCAATTAATACTTTGGTTTATTGTTAAATTTTTTTTATATTGATTATTAATATCATGATAGTGTTCTTATTACTGTAGACGATTATAAACATACTTTGGTTTTTTTTTTTTTTGGGTAAATAAACTTACTTTGGTTGAAGTCAATAATTTGGCTCTGGTCGTTATGTGTTCCGAAGTTTTTGTGCTAGTTTAACATGGTCTGACGAAGACTTAATCGTGGTTAGTGGCCTAAACATTAGTTAGATATGACAATTGCAACTATTAAAGCACTCTCGAGCTCCAAAATAAAATTTGGGCAAGATTTTTAAAAGAGAAATACTAAGGAAATTTTCTAAAAGTATGACTTTTTATGGATTCTTTATCATTTATTTTTGCATAATGTTTTATAATGTTGGCACGTGAATTATGCTAAAAACATAAGGTGGCGAATAATTCATGAAGAGTTCCTTTTGAAAGAATCCTCCTAGCATTTCTCTTTTAAAAAAATCAACACCAATCATACTCTCTATCCACCTAGCCGACAGTTTGCTGTCTCGACTCACATATTTCTTTTGTGTCTCTTTTCTAATTTTTTAACATGTATCCTTCAACTGAACTTTAATTTTAACATCTTAGTTTCTCATAAATTAAATAAAAAATATGAAAAATAAAATTTACAAAAAGTAGCAGTGAAAATAAACTCCGGACAACCACACTACCCATCACCGCTGTCGATCCTCTCACCATTCGCGAAACTTCATTTCCATTCTATCTCTCTGAGCCCTTTCTCTCTCCTCAAATTATGTAGAGCAATTACTGTTAAGTAATTGAAATTTGGGATGCAGAAAAAGGTATCTGATCTGTATCGATATGTGAAATCTGAAACGGCCGATATCTAAAACGATGCAAATGCCAAGATCTGAAATGACGGAAAGAGAGGAAAATGCAATACAGCTTCGCTATGCTTTGCTGACGAGAAGGGAAGAGAGATATAGAAAGAAAGAAAAGCTTCGCCGGTGGAAAGGAATCGAAACCGACATGCTTGGTGGGGGAGGCTGGGTTCCGTTGCTGCAGGGCTAAGTTGAGGTTGAGGTTTTTGTTTTTGCTTAATTTTCAATTTTAGTTTTTTAATTAACTTTATAAAAGAGAACTATTAATAGCTCTTCCAAAATTTTATTCTATATTACTTTTATTTCTAAAGGTTAGTCTTTGTTTATTAGTTTCTTGATTTTCAAGATTTGATACATGAAGTTTTTTTTTTCCCAAAATGATACCTAAAGTTATAATTTTAGAACATTTTTATACATTCATTAAAATTACTGTTAAATCAAATGTTAACGGGCGACGTGATAGACAATGATTGGGCATCCCATGAATATTAAAAATTAAAAAATTAAAAAAAATTTGGGCCTCTCCTTCCTTAACCCCCGCTCCCACCCAACCATCCATCCCTTCTCTCCTCCGTGCCAACCCACCCAACCCTCCCTACCTTCTCTCTTCACGGCCGCCGCCGGCGTCACCTCCTGTCGGCCCCGGCAACCCAATTACCTCCAAAGCTTCCCCAGCAAGCTCTGTGTTGCTGCTTTGGCACCCAGAAAACCCGATTACCTCAAAAAATAAAAAAATAAAAAAAAACCATATGAAATTGAAATAAAAACGGGATCGGTTGTTGGCTAGGATGTCTCATATCATAGTGGGTAATTAATAACAATACCCAAGACGGATAATTCATGTTAATTACGAAAAATCCATATAAAATATATAATCTTGAACAACAATTCACAGAAATTCAAACCCAATTTCAAAGAAAATGATAACCCATTTCTTAAATTTCGAATCTGAGCACCAAAACCCCATCGGAAGTAGATTGAAGAAGAACCCACATGGGGAAGCCGTTCAATTGCTCGAAACGAGTGAATTTGAAATTGGTTTACCTAAAGTGTTCGACGGGGACAAGACCATGGTGCATTTCTTGGAGTTCGTTTTGTTGATGGGCAGTCTTCTGATTGCTCCGCTGCTCCATGGCTTTGCTGATTATAGTTCTAACCACAACGGTGTCGACTGACGGAAAGACACAGAAAGAGAAGCAGGGAGACGAGCAGAGAGGATGGGGAAGAAGGAAAAAGAATCGGTATTTTTAGAAGAGTTTTAGGGGCGCCAAAGCAGCAACACAGAGCTTTCTGGGGAAGCCTTGGAGGTAATCGAGTTGCCAGGGCCGGCAGGAGGTGGCGCCGGCGGCGACAGTGAAGAGAGAAGGGAGAGAGGGTTGGGTGGGCGCAGAGGACAGAATGGACGGAGGGTTGAGTGGGAGCAGGGGTTGAGGTAGGAGAGGCCCAGGTTTTTTTTTAAATTTTTTTAATATTCATGTGGCGTGTAGTCATTATTGACGTGAATACCATGTTATTATTAAACGGTTAATTTAATAACAACTTTAACGTATGTATGAAAGTGTTCTAAAATTATGACTTCATATAACATTTTGAGATAAAAAATTTCATTTACTAAATATTAAAACTTTAAAGTAATAAACTGAAATTAACCTGTAAGTGTCTTATGATTCTAACTATATCAAAAGGTTATCTTTACTATTTATTTATACTATTTGTTAATAAAAAGTGATTCACATGCGTTTGAGTGTCTTAATTTTATTAGAAAAATGATAAAAGCGATACAATGATAAGTGTACCAAAAAGCAGACCAAGTGTGAATAATTAATTGCTTGAGTTGTCAGGGTAGAGTTGAGAGTACCAAGGTTCGAAAACACTGCAGAGTCTAGTAATCTACAGCTGTATTTTTTGGAATACATGCAATTTATCTCTCCCATAATTCATACAAAAGTTGAAAAATGTCGGAAGGGCTTTATTGGTTTATGAACAATATTAAAGCAACTAAATTTATAAACTAAATAATATATTATACTATAAGCTAAGCATGTTTATTAATGTTTAATTAATAATTTAATTATTAAATTTTATATCTTTTAATTTACTAAATTTTATTTATAAATTTAATCTCTTTAATATTATTCTTTATTTATTACTCCAAATACTAATGTGAAACGGATTACTCGCAGTTCCACGGTCCACTGCTTGTTTTCTTCTGTACACAAAAGAGAAAGCAAACGAAAAACATTAGTTCTTTATGTTTAACAAGAAAAAAAAATTTACTTTTTGGGATTTTGTACTCAAATTTTTATATTTTTTATGAGCGCTATTTTACTCTAAAGTTTAAACTAATGTCTTGTCACGAGAACGAGAGAGTTTGAACATGAAAAACAATGAATTGAAAAAAATATTTACTAAAACTAGACAATCTATCACTTGTATTAAAATGGCTAGAATTTCTCATAAGCTGAAATTCTTTTTTTTTTTTTTTTGGTGAATATTGCTGAAGACCTTTTAGCAGTGAGACAAAATGTGCAACAACGCTCAGATCGGTTGCAACGAACATAAACATTGATCTGCTTGGTTTTGTAAACCCTAATTACAAAGCTTGAGCCTCGGACAGATAACAAAATCGAGAGCAATTTATCCACTCCATACAGACCTAACCTCGTCCTAGGCTAGTTCGTTAACAAAAATATTCCGGGAAAAACGCGAGCAAGCGCTTGCTTGCTCGCTAACCCATTGCCCATGTATTATATGCAATGACCAGAAAACTGGTAACGAGGGGCCAAATCCACTGCTCAGAAATCTTATTGCTGCCGTTCAAATTTTCACTAGGTCCCATTCCATTTTCATATGCTGTTGATGGACTGGAGATGCTTGCATTGCTCGCTGATAAGCTGTTGCATCATAAAACACTAAACCTTATTATACCATTACAAATCTAGACCACTAATAATGTCGTATCAAGTTTTGGAGAAAAACTTCGATAAGATTGAAAACAAATGACCGGTTGTATTTGGGTCCTACATGGGCCCATTTTGGTGAAGCCCATGCAAAAGTTTGCTTCGTTTGTGTCTTGCAAAGGAAAATAACTTACATTGAACGATTACATTGTGATGGTGAGGATCCGTTTGAATAGCACTATGCCACGTAGAATAAAATTAATAAGTGACATTGTATTATTACATCATAGGGTCACCTTAAAGATGTATCCAGTTCATCCAAGTTGCTCACCTTGCACAAACGGGGATGCGACATTAACTGCCACTGTCCCACTACTATTACATTATAATATTATTCATACTATGTTTTTTATTACATTTTCATATTATTTTAGATGATAAATAATGTGAACAATCATATCATTTGAATTAATTAAAATTTTAAATTTAATTCATTATTTAATAAACTAATAATTAAAAAAAATTAGTTAATTAAATAATTATTGTAATATTGAGCCTTCCTCCTGATTTTCTTTTGATTTTGCAAAATTTTTAAATAATATGACCGTCCATGTAAGTAGTACATAAACATGATAAAAAAATATAATATGAATAACATTCCTATTTATTTAATTCCCCGAAACGGCCAAACGCAGTTATCAAAATTCTAATTGAAAAAACAATTAAAAAACAGAAATCTAACCATGCAACTGTAAGAAGTTGAAGGAGTTACCTGGATGGGAATTTGCACTTATCATGACCTGGATAGGAAAGAAAAAATACAGTTTTTGTGAAGATCGCAACGAATCAGAAAAATGGATTTTCAGCATCTAAATCCAGCAGGAACCCATCTATGATTTAACTTTTAATGTCCAATTAATTTTTTTTCCCAAAGACTAAAAAAGTGTAAATAATATTAGAACCTACTGGGATTCAGAGAAGTGAGTGCGGCAGTGTTATCAAAGTTGCAACTATCGTCGGTCATGCCGTGTTTCAGAAAGTAGTCGTTGAAAGCGTAGGAGGCAGTGTTCTGGATGTCGGTTGGGTCGTAGCAGGGCCCACCTTGCTGGATTGGGCTGCAGTCGGCCCCACCAGGCCCGCATGCCCAGTTCAGCGCCGTCAGCAGGGGGGCGTCCTCCGCGTTATTCTTGGCCACGCACCACAGCTCCGTCGTAACCAAGCCGTCCTTGGCCGTGGAAGGCAGGATCAAAAGGCAGAAGAGGGCGAGTGAGAGGATGAAAGAGAAAGCGATGTTTTTGTGCATTTGTGAGAGAGAGAGAGAGAGAGGTAATGAAATTGGCGTTTGCTTCTGGGTTTGGGAGAGACGGAGAAATCGAGAGAGGAGCTGAGGAGGGGAATAATATTATAGCCGTTTGTTTTGGTAAGCTAATTTATTAATTGTGGAAGATGGGAGGCCGAACGGGGATGCAGAGGAAAAGTGACCGTTACTTGAGGAAGCAAAGGAAAGCAACCGAGCAAGTGACAGTGTGACCTGTGTGAGATCGACAAGCACGACTGAGGGAGAACGCAATTACAGACTACACCATTACGTGTTAGAGGAGAGGTGGTCTTTTTGCAACTAATGTACACTTACATAATAATCCGATAAATATTTATCATGTGATGTCATAAATTACGATTTACACGAGAGTTTCACAGTAAAGACTTATGTAAATGTAATTGTTAGAAACTATTATTAGAAACTTATAAAATCTTAGGGTTAAGATAAGTTGTCAAACAATAAAAATTTGGACATGTTTAGGCTTCCAAGATGAATACTTTGGCATGCCTCGATTTTTGTGTAAGTTGGCACCTTACCTCATTTTCTATATGTCGTTTGACGTGCCTCGTTCCATGTGTTGTTCTAGTTAGGCTTAAAAGTTGAGCCACGTGTTCTATTCAGATGTGGACGATGATGCTTGTGTGTGATGCTTATGTAGCGTCTTGGTTTGACGTGCACAAGAACTTGTGTGTTCTTTTCGATTTTGTGTTATGCTTTTATCTGTATTGATTATGAAATAAGTGATTTTAATATTATGCTGAAGACTATTTTTTATTTAAATTTGGTAGTTTGTATTACTTTATTGAATATACAAAATACTTATAAATAATTAAAAAATTGGGTAAAGTACAAAAAAACTATCTTAACTATTGGTGTCACGACACTTTCATATCTCATTTTTTAAAATTGACAATATCATACATCATGTTACGAATTTGTGACAATGTCAAACTTTCGTCAGTTTTTCTGTTAAGTATTGACGTGTCTTGATTCAGAGCCTACTTTCTATTAAAAAATTATTAAAAACTAAAAAAATATTTAATATTTTTTAAATATTAAAATAATAAATAAAAGTTAAAAAAAAAAAAAAAAAAAAACCTTAGTCGTCCCTTCCCCCCTCTCTCTCTCTTCCCCATCTTCATCTTCTTCCTGCTTAATCTTTAACACCAAAAAAATAAAAAAAAATTTGAAAACCCAACCCCTAGCCCCACCCCACCCCACCCCCCCACCCCCCAACAGGAGAAGGAGGAAGAACCGAAGAAGAAGAAGGAGGAGGAAGAAGAGGAGGATAAAAAAAAAAAAAAAAAAAAAGGGAAACTGCAACCTAGAAAAAAAAAACAAAAAAAAACCCGGAAGAAGAAGAAGAAGAAGAAAAAAAAACCCGGAAGAAGAAGAAGAAGGAGAAGAAGAAGAAGAAGAAGAGAGGAAAAAAAAAAGAAGAAGGGAAACTGCAACCTAGAAAAAAAAAAAAAAAACCGAAGAAGGAAGAAGAAGAAAACCCATCAACTCAACCCCCCATCCCAGCCCGCCCGCGGAAGAAGAAGAAGAAGAGGAGGAGGAAAAAAAAAAAAAAAACCAAACTGCAACCTAGAAGAAGGAAGAAGAAGAAGAAGAAAAAATTAAAACACCCCCTCCTGCGGAAGAAGAGGAAGAAGGAGAAAAGAAAAAAAAAAAAAAAAAAACCCCCAACCCAACCCAATTCGCCCCCCCCCCCCCACGCAACACGCACTCATCTCTCCTCCCCCATCTTCATCTTCTTCCCCTTTTCCCTCTACCTGCAACTCAGAAACAATAAAATAAAATAAATAAAATTTCGAACCCAGTTTCGGCCCAAGAAGAAGAAGAAGAACCCTCTTTGTCTCATCCCCATCTTCATCTTTGTCCCCTTTTCCCTCTACCTACAACCCAGAAACCAAAAAAAAAAAAAAAACAAAAAACAAAAAGAAAAAAAAAATTTATACCCAGTTTCGCCCCAAGAAGAAGAAGAGAGAAGAAGAACGAAAAAAAAAAAAGTGACAAATCCAGTTTTGGCTCAGGAGAAGAAGAAGAAGATGAAGAAGAAGGAGGAGAGAGAAGAACAAAAAAAATTGAAATTGGTCCGGGTGAAGGGAAGGGGATGCCGCACCCCTAGAAAAAATTTGTTTTTGTTTTTTTTATTCTTAATTTTTTTAATATTTAATTATTTTTTAATCCAGCTGGATTAATGAGTGGTCCTTGTCTCTTGCCACATCAGCACTTAACAGAAAAACTAACAGAAAATTTGAAAGAGGTATGACATTGTCACAAATCCGTAAGATGCGGTATGACATTGTCAATTTTAAAAGATGAGGTATGAAACTGTCGTGACCCTAATAGTTGAGGTAGTTTTTTGTACTTTACCTTAAAAAATTTGTAGCAATAATCTCTCAATTTTAACTCAATTTGAGCAATGGTCCTTTAAATAAAAATCTATAATCATTGGTCCTTTAACTTATCGAAATGTGCAGCTATGATCATTTTCGTTAACTTCATTAGAATTCCATCAAAATGAGCCATGTAGGAATACAATTGCTATAATTTGGTTAAAGTTGAGGGACCATTACTCCAATTGAGTTAAAGTTAAGAGATCATTACGACAATTTTTCTCATTTGGTTTTCCATATTTGGCCTTTGATTCAGTCTCACTTGCTTGGTACGTGACTCATTTTGACTGAAGTTCTAACGGAGTGACAAAAATGAACATACTTGCACATTTTAATGAGTTAAAAACTAATGATCATGGATTTTTAGTTGAGAGAATATTACTCCAATTGGGTTCAAATTGAGGGACCATGCTACAATTTCCTCTAAATGATTTATGCCGATGTTGCTTTTAAATTCAAAATAATAATTTAGTTTTTTTATGGCAATATGGGAAGTAGCCCAACTTACTTATAATATCTCTCGTCTCATCAATTTGAGATTCATTTTTAACACACCCCTCAAGTGTGGTGAGTTTTCAAACCTAATGCCTGGACAACACAACCGGATGACGTGGAACACATGTGGCCATTTGCACGTAGGACAACTTGCTCTGATACTATGAAGAAAGTTGAGGTTTCGCCATAAAACTCATTGACAATATGGGGAGTAGCTCAACTTACTTATAAACCCATGCAAAGTCCATCATCTCATCAATGTGGGATTCATTCTCAACACACCTCATCACGTGTGGTGAATGTTCAAATCTAACAAGTGAACAACACAACAGGATGACTTGGAGAACGTATGACCGTTTGGCTTCACACATGAGACAAACCCGCTCTGATACCATAAAGAAAGTTTAGGTTCCACCATAAAATCAATTAGCAATATGGAGAGTAGCTCAACTTACTTATAAGCCTGTGCAAGATCTATCATCTCATCAATGTGAATTCATTCTCAACAAATGCTAAAAAAACTCTCTCAAAAGTGGAACTCTCCATGGACTTTCTGCCAATTCAATTTTTGAGAAATGCTGAGGGAACTCTCTATGGACTCTCTGCTACCTCATGTTTTTTCCACAATGCTTTATAATGTTAGCATGGAAATTGACATAAAACTGTGAGGTGCCAGAAAGTTCATGGAGAACTCCACTTTTTTTAGAGTCTCCTTATCATTTCTCTCATGTTTTTAGCTCAATATTTTGTAATGTTGACATGAAAATTAATGTTGAAACTGTAAAATAGTAGAAAGTCTATGTATTTACACAAACTCTATATAACACTCTTCGATTTAGAGTAATGGTTGTAGGCTTTTAAGAAAAGCAAGCAACTAAGGAGAAAAGAAAAGTGTTTTCTAAAGAGAAATTCAAGCTCCATTAAGCTTGAAAATAAGAGTGAAATATTCATCACCTCCTGCACCACAAAACATGTTCCTCCTATTAAAGGAAGAGTGGGCTAGCTAGCTTTTTTCACTCTTCCTCTTGTTCCCACATCCAAGGGGCATCCTAAAGGAGATCTGAAGCCCCTTCACCAAGGGATGATCAAATTTGTGAAAGCACAGAAGCGCTTCAGAAGGTAGAGGCCAATCCCTTTCATCATCCCTCTCGTTTTGTTTTGATTCATCAAAAGAATTTGTCTTTGAAGATCTGTTTTCGCTTTTTATTTTATTTTTTATTTTATTTACATGCATGTCGTTGGGTCAAAAATCCAAGTTTTCTAGAACCGTTTCCAACAATGAGTTGTAGGAGGAAATTTTCATTATGACCGGAATACGAGTAGTACTCCACGTGTTTTTATACAAGTGATTGGAAATTTTATTTAACTTATTAACTTTTTAGAACACATATCCCATCATTTATATAATGACACGTGATGTACCACCTCATATTCCGGTCACACTGAAAAATCTCTCGAGTTGTAAGCCTTGACCCGAACTGAGGATCGCAGCTTGTTATGTCTATTGTGGATATATGATACAACTGGATGACTTTGGGATCAACTGGTTTCTAATTCGCTTGCGAAGTATAGTTTATTATTATTTGTTTCTGTTGAATATCTGATGTATTATATGTCTGAGCTCCAGTTAACTCATTGTATTTCTTTTACAATTATGTTGTCATGTGTCAATCCTAACTATATGTTGTCATGTGTCGATCCTAAATATATCTTAGGATCAGACATAACAAAAACTTTGCCATGGTACATACTCATGATAATTCGCAACAACACCGTAATTGAAAAAACCCCCCACATTAGTGTGTTCATAAAGAAATTTATCTAAAATATATCTCACGTCAACACAAATATAAGCAGCCTTCAAGATGTAATATGGCAAAATATTGAATATGTTATAATTTTCATCACAAGATCAACCCAAAATATACTAAAGAAGAGAATTAGAATTAACATATGAAACAGTATACGTATACGCATAAATACTTCCCAACCTTTTATTTTTACATCTTTTTACTAAGCAAAGTCAAAGCACCAATTAATGTAAATCAAATTTTTTGTTTCACACCTGCAACCAAGAAAGAAAATATCAGTGAGAGCTTGTCACATCTGTGTGTTGTGAGTCAAGGGCTTTCTGATGCCTTGGTTAAATATAGGAAAATGAATCTCAACCTATGAGTTTCTTGGCAAAGGAACATTTACTTTCATTGTGTGTAAGCATACCTTTATATAGAGATAGCCATGTGCTTTTAGGGTACATATAACACTCCCTTAGTAGTTGGTTTGAACCCACATTATCCCGCCCATTTTTCCAACAACGGTTTACTACAGAAGACATGATAAGGGGCACTAATTAGGAGTCCCATTTAGTGATGATTGTTAATAGCATTGGTGAACACGACCGGTCTGGACCATGATTATAGGGATCTTTATCTCTTGAAGATCATACTAGATCTTACCTTATCATACCCTTTTAGGCTGATCTCGTTTGTGAACTAATAAAATCCTGCTAGGGTTTCATTCGACCCGCCAAGCCCGCCAATTTTGCTGAATGGGATGGTCTAGTGCATTGTTTTAGGTAATCCATACGAGTGGCGTGGTGCACACGCTAGAGGTCTACGGATGTGATTTACGGGGAGACATTCCCTTTTGCATTTAAAGCTCAATCCACGCGAGAATTAAAAGTAATGTTATTCATATCATGTT